AATTTGACAGCATTTGATGGCATTTGATTATTCTAGTCACAGCCAAACAATGATATAAAGAGTAATATGAAACAGAATGTGTTACTGCCTAGCAGACTCAAAAGCAATAAACCTTCCTCCAATGTGACACAATCACTTCACAATCATAATTGTAGCCTGTTTGATACCTCTGAGTACAGCAGAAGGGCACTGACTGACATAGATACATTTTGTTTTTTATTTAAAGTGAAATGAAAATGGCGCACTGGGGCTCCAGATACAATCGTTATATTCACCTACATAGGCATGAATCACTTGGCAGTTATTTCAGCTGAAGTTTAAATGTGCTTAGACAACAACAATAGCAAATCTTTCTCAGATAGCTGCAAAAAAAATCAGAAATTTGTAAGGACAGAAATGGGATGTAAGCACATAGTTCTTTTTCATTTTGTAGCTATACATAGCCTCATATTGTTATAACAACAATACTGCAGTGTTTCTAGGGGAGGTTATGGCATGTAATTTCTTCTTCATCATTTGCCTCTTCCTTGCTGTATCTTCACCAAATAAATTCATTTAACTCAAAGCACTGAATGTTTGGGGAGCAGTGTGTGCAAATCTTTCCATTAAAATTGCAGAAGCGTCCTAAAAATACCTACAAAATTTCTATAATTCTGACAAAAAAAGTGTGGTGCTAGGGGATTGGTAATATTTTACTTCTCACTTGTGAAACAACTGTGAACAGAGAAGGAAGGTGCTTTATTTTTTCGGTGAGAACCACAACTGAATATTGTCTCATGCAAAACATCCCTTCTCATTCACAATCATGCAACACTCCTCTCTTTTCCATTCATCATTACATAACTTCCCTGTGACAGCCATAGAAATTGCTATGATGGAAAGATACTATTACAGGAAAATTTAACAGTTCTATTTGTCTGTTACTCAGATATAACTGGAAACAAAGCAAAACAACACTACGTGACTATCAGAGGGTCTCCAGCTGTTGCTCTTCACTCACCACCAGCAAGTGCTCTGTGGATGGGAATTGATCTCATAAAAACAATACCTGTAAGATAAGAAATAAGTGAGGCCTGGTTCAAATCTAGCTTAAGTAGGAGTAGCTTCCTTGGAAAACCCTGAGCTAAACTCTGTAGGAGTACATGATTTAGATAAAAGATGTAATTGAGATTAATAGTGTAATTCACACTGTCCTGGCACTCAGTGGATGGGCAAATAAGTATAATTTAGAGCGTAGGCAAAATAAGGGGTCAAGCTGAAAAAGAAACAGGAGGATGTAAGATACAGGACATGCCCACTTTCTGTTGACACCTCTAAGCTGCTCTTTTTGTGGCTCCAGTTATGTTCATTTTACATACCACTGAGTGCCAGATCAGTATATATTACATGACTCTTCCCCTTACCTTTATATTCAGGAACACTTCAACTTGGTGTGTAACTTATCAGACACTCAGACAGTGGCGTAAGTATAAAGACCTCCATAGATAGATATGCTGACATAAGCAACCACTGAATTTGGTTCATGCTCATCACTTTTGTCTGTAAGTATTCTGACATCTGATCTGATTGACTGTTTTAATGAGCATCCAGTTCATTTTATTTTTGTATATTGAGGACAATATTTATAAAAATTAAAAATAAAATATATATGTGTTGCAAGTCAGTAATAACTAAGGCTATTTTGGTGCACCATATGAAAAACCATATTAGGAAGCACTGTGGAGCTGCATTGTCCCTTTAATAACTTTTGGAGATATTATCCCTCAGTCTTTCCAGAATGGTGATTCTTTCCTACCCTGGGAACAATGTGAACAACTACGTTCTCTTTTTGGTCTTAGAGGAAGTGATGGCTCTGTAAGGGCATTCTGAACATGGCCACAGAGGTGTAGCCAGTGAAGCCAAAACTACACAGATTCACTGATTCTTCCCTGACAAATAAGGCAGATGAGGGGCAAGTGCTGTGATCGCTATTGCAGCTCTCTGGATATAGCTGTGTAGCCATCTGGCAGGAAGAATTCCTTCTCCTCACTACTTCTGCTCAGGCTCAGGTTTGGAGTGGGGGTGGGGAGGATTTGCCCTTATAAAAATAACTGCATCTGAACATCTCTAAAATGAGCATGGGCAGCAAATCACAGTATGCAGCTTCAGAGACAGCTTTCAGCTCCTGAAAATGCTTTTTCTCCTATGCAGTTCATTGTACATAAGAAGCACTTCCAGTTAAATGAGCAGTTGCATACTAAATCTTAAGTCGATTGAAATGATTACAGACTGTTCAACCACTTCTGTTCAAAGTTTATTCATACATGAAGATATTCTGGTTTTTAGCACCACAGATGGAATCATTTACCTAACCATAAGTTTCATTCATTAAATATTCAGCAGTAATAAGATCTAAATACTTAACCAGACTACATTGTTCAGCTTTGCTTGTAGATGAGCTAGTGGTTGGTGGCATATTTGATCTTTCAGCGTGAACAAGCTGTTTATCACAGAATTTCTAAAATGTTACTAAAGATGAATTTGTAAATTTGAAGAAGTGCTATAACAATTAATTGAATTGCTATGCTAGGCAAGCCCAGATATCAGGTATTAAAGACACCTTTATTACACTTAAAATATCACCACTTTTCACTTCTGTTCAACATTCCTTATTTTTAAATACATTGAGAGGAAGGTGGGATTGAGGCATATTATCTTGTAGAACTGTATATATTCTGGCATAAGTGTGTAGGATACTTTACAGGTAAGTAAGACACAAGGATTGAGTCCATGGGAATTAGAAATTAGCTATAGCACATAACCAGTGCATCTATCATAGAATCATAGGAAATAAGGGTTAGAAGAGACCTCTGGAGGTCATGTAGTCCAGCCCCAACTCAAACCATCCCCAACTATATCGTCTCAGCCAAGGCTCTCTCTTGATGGATCTTAAAAATCTTGGGTTTTGGTATCACTTTGGTACTGGCCATGGCAAGAAGAGATTAAATCCTTTGGAGTAGTGAAGAGCACTAGTGTCATGGAGGGAGGAGGGGAGGGCATGACTGGGACACCAGGGAGTGCAAGAATGGCAGCCACTGCCACTGCCAGTGCAGAGCCAGATGTTTCCAGTGCAACAGACAGCCTGGCTCAGCCTCTGCTGCCACCCAGAGCACAGACTCTGGTACTTGTGCCTCTGGTAGAGAAACTAAAACAAGAGGTTAGTGTCACTTTTTGCAATTTTTGCCTTTACATTGATGAGTACAGTGTGTGATGTTTGAGTGAGAGTTCTGCATATGATTTTACTTCACCATGGAGAAAAGTGTGCAAAAAATCCAACGTGATGCCTTACTTTGGGATACATGACTAAGGATGGAGTATGGCTCAGGTGGCCAACCTGCATCATGGGTGCCACAAGTGGCATAGGCAGTCTGTACGTGGGGCACATGGCAAATAGGAGAGGGTGAAAAAAGCAGAGCAACAGATTGGACAGGGAGCACAGCGAAGGGAGCAGAAAGCAGAGCAGCAGATTGGGCAGGGGAAGAAAATTGGAGTGGCACTTGGGGAAGGTGTGGGGCTTATTTGTGGCATGACTGCCAAAAATGTTGGCTCCCATTGATTTAGGGGGTCTTGGGTATGATTTCTTTCTTCCTGTTCCTCTAACACTCCTGCTTCAATTGTTTTTGAGAACTACTAGAAAGTCTGCCCCACTCCTCTTTACCCAGAACCACAAATCAATTCACAGTATCAACGTGTTTAATCTTTACCACATCCTAGTGATAATATATGCAGAAAATTTAGCATGTGTGTGTACATGTCTGCATGTGAGTGCATGTGTATGTGTGCGCAAGGGTAGTACATTCATTATGTTTATAAATGCAGTAGAACCTAAGGGGAGGTAATATTGCAAGCACTTAGTTGCTAGTTTTAAAAGCATAGATGTTTGTTGGGAGGGGGGAGATTTATCTTTAAAGTAGTAACTGAGGTTGATGCAAGTAAATGAAAACAGACAGAATTATTTGAAATACAGATTTTCTCTTGCCAAAGAAATGTTCTTCCGCCAGTGTGCATGTGGAGTAGTGATGACACCTGGTAACCAGGCAGACCAATTCCACTCCTGTGAATTTACCATATTTGTGGTACAAGTCTCAGATAATGTAATTTTCTTGTTTGTTTGCTGGCATGCAGGGAGAAAGTGGTTTTATTTATAGTGAAGGCAAAGTTTTCAGTTAAAAGAAGGAAAACACTTAAATCCCTGCACAGTGCAGCACAGTCTTCACTGAGATTTTTCATAGCCTTAAATATTACAGACTTAAATCCAGGCCAGCTTTTTTATACCTAGCAAAAGAGAAATGATTTGGCAACTCTGTCTTGAAACCAAACGTCTACCTTTTTCCTTCCTCTCTAGACTGACATCCTAGCAGGCACTAATAAAAGAGGCACTAATTTCCTGTAATCACCATTGAAATGGTTCAGAATTTCTCAGGGTTTGGCTGTAGGAGTGCATTTGTAGTGTATATATATACAGTATACACTATACACTATTGCAGGGCTGGCCAACTGATAGCCCATGGGCAGCATCCAGCTCCCAAGGAGTTAACCTGAAGCCCCTGAGGTCCCAGTCCAGGTTCCATCCCCCGGCTCTCCTGCTGTAGCTGCCAAGGTCTCCAGGCTTCCCCATCCCTCCTCCAGCTTCTGCTTCCTGCCCCTTACACAACTTCTGCACTCAGAAGTTGAACAGCCCTGCACTATTATATATTTTATAGGTCATGAACATGTGTATGCATATATATTGAACATAGATAGAAGATATACATAGATGGATACTAAAGAGTCTCCTTTTGCTAGCAGATGAAAGGAATATTTCCAAGATAAAAAATTAGGCAGGAATTTCCTTGCCTGTACAGTGTGTAAAGAGCTATATTATTCACTATTACAGTCTGAGTTTAGGATTTGTACTTTAGTATCAAGTACTATCTGGCTGTGGTTAAGTTTTAAATGGAATGGTTTTATTTGAATTTCAGGCGTGCTGTAGGCACTCCAGAGGAGCTGCTTTTGTTCATCTGGTCAGAAGGAGCGCTGGAATTTATTGATGCTTCGGATGCACTGCAGCCATTCACTGCCTATGAATACCGTGTTAGAGCTCAGAATTCCATGGGCTCGGTAGGCAGTCAGTGGACTTCAACGCAAACACTGGAAGCTGCACCTTGGGGCATGAAAGCCCCTTGGGCACAAGCTACAAGTGCATACTCTGTGCTGCTGAACTGGATCCAACCCCTGTCTACCAATGGCATCATTTCCCAGTATCGTGTAGTCTATCAAGAGAAACAGAGTGATCCAACATTTAGCACCCCAGCTGTTACAGCGCTAACCGTAATGGTAAGAAATAAATAATAAAACTGGCTTTTCAGGGTTTTTTGTATTTTACTTTGACTTGTGTTGTTTTCATATCTTACTAAGAGCTGGTCTAAAAGCACAATTTCCACTTTGCAGAAAATATTGGTTTTAGATTTGCTTTAGTTATTTTAATGCATATATATTTGAAATTTCTGGTAAAGTGGAAGCTGCCAGACCCTGTGGTTACTCAGTAAAATTGCCATTCTTTTCAGGTTTACTACCACTACTAAATAATACAAGAACGTCCACTGCATTGAGTGGCTGCATGAGGCTGGTTCTCAGAGTCCTAGGCAGTGGTGCAGACCTACTAGGAACCCAGAAATCTCAGTGCCCGGCCTTAAAATTCTATAAAAGTTCATTGAACTTGAGGTCTGCTGAATGAAGCATTTTGGACCCAGTGAGCTGTCATTTTTTGATGACACTGAGTTTACATCAGAAAATTTTCACCAGCCCTAATCTCATTGACATAGAGGTCAGATTTCCAGTTAAGTATGCACAACTTGCTTATGCACACTTAACCTGCAAACATATATATCCTATACCTGGGCATGATGGCGTCTCAGTTAGATGTCTAACCACTGATAGATTCAAATGAATGCCTCAAATGAAATGCATCAGACATTACTCATACCTACCTAACTGTGGAACTGCAGTTATATATTTTCTTTGTAATGCTTATTCTCTTATGCTTTGAACAGATTGATTATAATGAGCAGAAGAAAACCAGCCCCCTTTGAATGTTGTTATTCAGTTGAAATCAGTACTGGTTTAAGCATGCCATAAATGTTGCCATTATTTCTGCACACACCATTTTTTGTTTACACTATCTACAGAGATGTACTCATAATTCAACAGTATCAGGAGCAGATCAACTTCTGCAAGAGCATATAATATGCTTCTGTAATCCTTTACACACCTAATATGCTGTCCATCTAAAAATGTTTTACAAGTGAATATTAGGGTAGTTCCTGTGACACTTAAATATTATTATTTCCCAGCTGACTAAACTGAGTCAAATATAGTTTTGTTTTGTTTTTCTTTGTTTTTATGTGATCTGACCAGGGCTATGCTATAAATCAGTGGCAGAGCTGGTAATATTTTCTTTGGAAACTGACTATGACATCTGATCATTTAACCATAGTCTTTCCATAAAGTATCAACATACAGCCAACTGAAATAGTCTGTAGTGTGCTTTGGTAGCTACTGTATTTGACAGCCTTCTGAAAAATATTATTTTTCAACAGTTTAAGAGTCTGTTGTGTTAATATGGTTCTGACGTTGTATTGAACTTTAGTTCCTACCAGTGCAACCTCAAATAACCTAAGCTTTTGTCCAAATGTGGTTACATGTCCAAATAATTATCCTTGCATTGAAGATATCTTCAATTATTGATAATGTCAAAGTATTAAATATTCCTTTAGCCTTCAGATAATTGACATTGTTGTACTGCCTATGACAGTGATGTGATCAGATTTAGAATTTGAAGGGACTGTCTCCTTAATGTTCAAAAATAAGATCTTTAGAAAACTTACTGGGAAACACCCTTTTGGCAAGAAATTAGTAGGATCCATGTTGAAGACGTCATGCACTTAGAGTTGTCTGGTTCTCAAGCAGCTGTAGGGCTATAAACAGACCTCTCATTTGACCTGGGGCTGATTGCCTTGGGACTTAACCTAAATCAAAGCAGGAGTGGCAGAGTCATTTACATATGTCACCCTTTTGAGCTGCATTGCTTGCTCCTTCACCAGCAGGTGGTCAGCAAGAATGCACAGTTTCACGGGCATAGAATGAACCACAATAACCATACAAATGTATAACAAGATATCTCAGGAAAGAGCATTACTACATTTGCCTGGCATATTTCAAAGGGACTTGAGGTGAGACAATGAATGTGAACCTCTGCACAATCCAAGGATAAAAATCTTTCTCCTGGGATAAATGCAAAGTCCATTCATAGCCTAGGTCCAGTTTCCTAGAAGCTGATACGAATAAGACTTAATAAATAAATAATACAGAAATAAATAAAGTATGCGCTAGATTTTAAATGTAGGGTGCAGTTATCAAAGGAGAGTTGGACTTCAGGGAAATCTGGGTATCTGACTTTTTGTTTTCTTTTGAAATCCCAGACATAATATTAAATGTGATGGCTAAAATTACAAAAATGGCAAAATGTCAGTGGCTTCTTCTAATGTCCTGTTCAGACAGAAACTAACATGTTGCTGAGTGTCAGAATTCACCTGTCCAGTCATGCATTACAGTGTCTTCTAGGCATGCCAATAACAACGAAAAACATCCAAGATGGTTGTATTGTGGGTAATAAAATCTACCAAAATGGCCTTTTAAATAATGTTACTACAGTGTGCTTCTTTAACAACATCATTTAAAGCCCCTTAAATTAACAGTTATTATTTACTGAATTATTATCTTCCTGGCTCTGAAATGCTTTATTTTCCCTAAACACTAACCTGAATCAAAATGGCATATTGCAAGCATATGTATAGTTGTTTGAATAGTGCAGAAATGACACATCCACTTTTTCTACTTGCCTGTTTTGTGACTATCCATTCATTTTTTTCATTCCCTTTTTTCTATAATTATGTTATATTATATTTCTCCTATATGAATATTACACTGCCTTTAGGAGAGGAATTCCTCTGCCCCATTCTCTCCTCAGCTGCACTTGGCTTTAGGCTGGTGCAACTACATTGAACTCAGTGGAGTAGTTTCCAATTTTGCCCCAGGATAGCTGAGACCAGAATCATCCCTTTTCTGTTCTTAAAGCAGCATTATAGCTGTAGTCTGAAGACAAAGATACTGTGTCCTGTTATGAAAGATATCCTTAGGAGGTCAGGCCAATTATCAGAACAGGCAAAAACCTGGGCCCCAAGTTTCAAAGTTACAACTTTTTTGAAACAGAATTTTATCATGAAATTGCTGATATACTTGTACCTGTAGTTTTGTAAATGAGACACTTTAATTAAAATGTAATTTTACTAAAGGAACTAGCATTGCAATGATTAAACTTCTGCCCCTTTAAAATATAGCTTTCAGGGGTAGTAGGCTAAATCATTTAATCTCCTAAAGAGTCTCTATTGGAGTTCCCTTGTGGGACATGCCATTAGTCATTCTCTCACACAAGCTTCCATATTACAATGCAAGACTTAAAGTATTGAGCAAGCAATGAGCTCTGTCCTTTATTTAATCTGTTAGACTCTATTCTTATCACATTGGAATATTCCAGGAGAAAGGAGAGAGCGATGCCAATATTGCAAGGGCTGTGGTCATACCCATTCTTTTCACTTGTGCTCATGCTCCCAACCCACTGGACATGGCCTGAATACTTTAAGTCCGACCAAAAATTAAACTTGAAACAAAATCTTTATGGGAAATGGTAAAACATAATAAAAATGAGGGGACTGATAATGTCACTGAAGACTCTTCTACCTTGATTTCTTTTCTATCCATTTCCAAATCCATGTGAGAATTGCCTTTTGGGTTTTCAAAACACTTGACAGACTTATTCACTTTGCCTCCCTGAACTGTAGCCATTTACTCCCCTGTAAAGATGTGTTAAGCTCTATTTAATTTAATGTGTCAAATCTAGGGTCACCTAGGACCTTGAAGTTATCACTGACCACTTGAAATGTTGTGAAACCAATGGGGATAGAAGTCATGTCTCGGTTCTAAAAGCCCAAGTTCCTACCCCTTGAACTAAAGAAGAATCTCCATTAGCTGTTAGTAGCATAGGGCCTACAACACACATGTGAGGAATTCTGATGTAGTAGGCCTGCTATCCCAACCCTATGCATGCCAGATTGGACCCACTGCTCTTACCCCAGGTGTGCTGTACTGAGTCTGCTGCCCAGCCCTGACTCTGTGTGCCTGGTCATTCCTGCCATCCCAGCCCCATATGCCAGCCTGATCCAGTGCAAGGGGCCACATAATCTAAGGCTTGGAAATTTGATGGAACAGTGGCAGTGTTAATTGCCACTACTCCCCCACTGCCAAATTTGTGCAGTGTGTCATTTGGCCTACAGGGAAGCCCTGTAGGCCAAATGACACAGCTCTGCTGGCAGATCCAGTCTACAGACTAGGCTGAGCACCACTCATCAAACCAGTTAGATTTAGGAGTTAGGTATTACCACTATTTAACACTATTAAGCACCATAGTAGACTGAAGTCCCTCTGAGGAACAACAGAGATGCAAGGTTCTCCTATGCAGCTTTCCTATATACCTTAATCCTCCAACAGAGAATCAGACAACAGTTATGTCCTCTTTGGCTGTGTCTACAGAAGACACTGACTGTGCAGTCATTACTGAGCAGTCATTACTGAGCAGTCATTTAGTACTTGTATAAACAAGTACCAAAGTTACTGCTCAGTAGCATCACCAAACGGCTTTTAGGTGATGCTGACTGCTCAGTAGCTTGTTACTACTGTGTAGTAGTGTCACATCATACTTCTTGCCACATGATGCTACCACACAGTATTAATGAGCTACTGCGCAGTCAGTGTCTTGTGTAGACATGGCCTTTGTCTACTAAGATGGGTGCCTTGATACCAGTTGTTGTGGTGGTTATGGTGTTAGCAGATGCTTGTCCACTAGGAACTGAACTGAGACCAGCAGCTTATTTACATCATCCTCCAAAGAGACATGTACTGCAGGGAGTAACTGATGAACTATGGTGGATGTCATTAAAAAGGTCAATATTTCCCAGATAATACTATCAAGGTATCAATATCGTTTAACTACTATACATCAAATACCACAGTGAGCAAGTGTAGGTAAATTCTAGCTTGTCAGAGGCAGACACAACAGAAATAAAATACTATTTCTCCAATGACCACTAGTCTTGAATATTGTATTTGGTTGTTTAGCTATTTGATGCTAGGGTAAATCAGGACATCTAAAATGAGATTTTATAAAGATTTTACTTTGGAAAAAGTAATGACAAAAGCACATTTGGAGAAGATACGAGAAG